ACTTCCTGTGGCACACTTTCTCTGGCCACCTGCTCTCCTCGGCAAAAAGGGAAAGCAAGGAGAAAAAGGAGCCAATATTCTCAAGAGCCAACCCTGGACCTCTCTCCTCGGCAAAAAGGGAAAGCAAGGAGAAAAAGGAGCCAATATTCTCAAGAGCCAACCCTGGACCTCTGTGTCCCCTACAGCACGGCCCACACCTTGCTGCAGTATGGCTTCAGTCTCAAGCCACCTGCACAAGGATGCAGCAAGCACATTCAACCTGCGAGAGCAACCTTGACATGTCATCCAAATGCCAAGCACCCATGCCCTGTTTTACAGGATTCTGCCTGGCTGAGACTCCACCCAGATGTGTGAGGGTTGTCTCTACAGCCCTGCATGCCAGAGCAAAAGCTGCAATGTGGCCGTTTATATATCAGGGACGGAAACTTTGCAGCCATGAGGGAACACAACTAGGAGGGACAAAGAGTAAGGTAATTATGGTAAAATGAGTCTGCACAATACAGCAGTGTTAACTTCTACATATGCATTGTCATATTTCTCTGGCATTTTTTTCTTAATGTAAAAAATTTATGTCTCAAAAAAAGAGAAAAAAAATTTATGTCTCAGGAGGATGACCCTGAACTCACAGCAACCCTCCTGCCTCAGCCAACCAAGCAATGGGATTATAGGGGAACACCACCACACCAAGCAGACATCTAGTACTTTCCCCACAAGGAAAAGTCAGACTCTTAAGGGTCTAGTTATCTCCCAACTCTACCTGATGTAAATAAATTACCAAAAGAAAACTATCTAGTCTCTCCTAACTCCACCTGATGTAAATTACCAAAATTATCTAGTATCTCCCAACCCCACCTGATGTAAATTACAAAAAAACTATCAAAATATGGCCTATAGGACCTGGAATCCCAGCACTCAGGAGGCTGAGGCAGGATTGTCAGCCTGGGCAACATTCTGAGTTCAAAGCCAGCCTGAGCTACATAGTCCAAACCTGTACTTTAAAAAAAAAAAAAAAAGCCTACAAGTTAAGGGAATGGTTTATTGGAATTAGCTTAAAAAAAAAAGAAAGAAAGAAAGAAAGAAATTCAAGATAGCTCACAATACCCACCTTTTTAAACCAGGCATAGTAGCACACCCCCTTAATCCGAGCACTGGGGAAGCTGGTTTTAAGTTCAAAACCAGCCTGGACTAGAAAGTGAGCTTGAGGCTAGCCTGTACTGCATCGTGAGATCCTGTCTCAAAAAGACAAAAAGCCAGGCCTGTGAGGCACGCCTGTAATCCCAGCACTAAGGAGGCTGAGGCAGGAGGATCGTTGCGACTTCGAGACCAGCCTGGGCTACAAAGTGAGGTCAAGGCCAGCTTGAACTACATAGCAAGACCCTGTGTCTCAAAAAGACCAAAACAAACAGAAAAAAAAAAAAACAAAAAACAACAAAAATAACCACCCTATTAAAACTGGCCACACTGCCTGGAAAGGTTCAGATCTGCCTATCTCAACACAGCTGGTGAAGCAGGCTGCACACTATAGCCTCACTAGCTTGTACCTGTGCCCCGCCTCTTGCCCAGACACACTTTGCGTCCCCTGCCAGTTCTGTGGTTTGAGCCTCGTGGAGGCAGAGGCCTTGCAAACGCATTTGCAAGAGTCCTTCACCGCAGATTCCACTCCTTATGTGGTCTCGCCACTGTTCTGTGCTCATAGCTCAATACCAAACACCCTAGAACACAGTTGAGACTTCAATATGGCCCAAGCATGTTGTGGTAAGAGCTAGGGCTCAACACTTCAAGCATGACTTCTGGTCATGGCAGAGCTCTCTGACTCCGGGTTCTAAGGACCTCCTAGAGTGGCTGTCGGGCCTGAAGGTGGCTGTTGTGCCTGGCAGGTAAGACTCCCATTTTCACCACAGCCACCTGTTCTGTGGAAGAGGGGGTCTGCAAGATGCCCTTCAGTGGCCTTCCACCTCCAAACCACTCTCATCCAGACATTCTGTGATATCGGCTAGACTTCAAGAACCACCTGGGATCCAGAGAGGCACACACGCAGGATAGAGAAGCATAGTTGCACTTGATCAGTGGACACTGCACATGTATGGAAATACCATTAATTTGTACAGTGACTGTTAATTTTAAATTAATTTTTAAAAGCAGGCAAAGGCCAGGCATCCTTATGGGACTGCCAAGAAAGTAAGGAGTTGAGTGGTCACAGAAAACAAAGACTAAATTAACAAAGTGTGTTCAGGCTCAAAAGCTACACTGCTCTTTACATTACAGAAATCTATTTGCCAGGAGATCAAGACTTTGTCAACACTTTGCTCAGGATGTGTCTTGCTGCGTACTGCCTTCCCTGCAACACAATGCAGTACAGCCCACTCCTGCCAGCAGCACCTGCCTATTCAGGATCCAGCTGGTTAACACTCCATATCCTACACCGCCTAACCACAAAGACTGGTTCCCTCGGATCACCCTGTCTCCTCGAGCCAACGCCCACTGTCGTACCTTTACATGTTGCACACCCCACAAGCGTGAGCCAGGATGCCAGCACACACTGCCCAAGAAGGCACTGCACTGTCCCATCTCCAAGAACTGCTCTAGTCTAGTACAAAGTCTAGTACAAAGCCTGGGTGCCTGTGCCGGCTCTGGAGAAAGCACCACAATGATGCAAGGTTACAACAGGAAGCAAATGCTGATTACTTTCTAAGGTAGGGCTGCACAGGGGCTGAAAAAATCTTACATGTTCCTCCCGAGTCCTTCCATGGACTTTTTGCAGATAATATCCACTTACCCTAAGTCTGGGACAAAAAACAGAAGAGACTAGAGATTGGGCCAAAAGAATAGAACTAGGTCAGACTAAGATCTCTACGCCCTAGGACTGTTGCTGCCAGGCCTGCATGTACCCTCAAGCAGGGGTCTGAAATTTCCTGTACTCTGGACATAAGACTCAGTAGCACAGAAGTTTTCACTGGGTGACCGAAGACAAGTTCAATTCATTGCCCACCAAAAATGTTCACCAGGGGGCTGAGGATTTAGCTCAGCAGCAAAGCACCTGCCTGGCAAGCACAAGGTCATGAGTTTGATTCCTGGTACCGGAAGAAAAACAAAACAAAACAAAAAAAATGTTCACCAGGTTTTTTTCGGGGGGCGGGCAGGGGGCAGTGCTAGGGATGGAACCCATGATACTGAGCTTTTTATCCCTAGCCCAAGTCCACTAGCTTCTAAATTCCATAGACAATTGTTGGTCTCCTCAAATATAGAGGTAAATGTTAAAAAATTAAATACCAGGCCAGGGATATAGCTCAGTGGCACATGCGCCTGTCTGGCAAGCACAAGGTCCTGAGTTTGATTTCCAGTAACAAAAAAAATATATATATATATATAAATACTAAAAATAAATCCTGAAAACAATAATAAATATTGACCTAGGCATGGTTGGAGGCCTGTAATCCTAGTCCTCTGGGAGGCTGAGACAGAAGGATTGCCAAACTCAAGCCCAGCATTGGCAATTTAGATCCTGTTTCAAAATTTAAAAAATAAAAATGGGCTGGGGAGCCAGGTGAGGTGGTGCATGCCTGTAATCCCAGCACTTGGGAGGCTGAGGCAGGAGGATCATTGTGAGTTCAAGGCCAGCCTGAACTGCATAGTGAGACCCTGTCACAAAAAAGACAAAAAAAAAAAAAAAAACCCAACTTTTTTCCCAGTGTTAGAGATCAAACCAAGGCCCTCACACATGTGAGGCAAGGGCTCTCTACTGCTGGTTATTTACCAGTCCATAAACTCAATTTTTAAAAGATTCCAGCCAGGTATGCTGATGCATACCTGTAATCCTAGCACGTGGGAGGCTGAGGCAAAAGGATTACAGTGAGTTTGAGGCCAGCCTGGGATACATTATGAGTTGAAAGCCAGCCTGAACTATATCATAGTGAGACCCTTCTAAATAAATAAAATGACCAGGAATATAAACATACTGGCCCCTTTAAACTATGCTAGGTAGAAATATTTTTCTACCCACTTCACAGATGGGAAGAGCCTTCATTTGCCACAGCTGCCCCATGTACAGGCATCCTCTGCATTGCAGAGCCACTTTCTCCAGCCTCTGCATGGGGCTTCTACCCTTCTGGAAAGAAAAATGGTGGGCCAGGGCTGGGGATATAGCTCAATGGCACAAGCGCCTGCCTAGCAAGCCCAAGGTCGTGAGTTTGATTCCCAGTACCAAAACAAACAAAAAAAAGAAAAACAGTGAGTTGCCATGGTGAAGGTGGAAACTTGTTCTGCAAAGTGCTTACCAATTGAAAGTCACTGGAGCTGACTCTCACATGCTTCATCCGTAAAGGCACCCAGTGAAGAGCACCAGCACTCCCAAGAAGCAGAGGTCACCCCAGGACGTTGGCAGAGCATGGTGTGCAAATGAAATGAAGAAGCCACACTGTGGTCATGGTTCACCACCAATCTCAAAATGAGCCAGACTGCATGATATAAAATTTAAAAACCTCACCTAACTGGGTGTGGTGGTGCACGCCTGTAATCTCAGCACTCAGGAGGCTTGCTGTGAGTGCGAGGCCAGCCTGGGCTACAAAGTGAGTTCTAGGACACGGTGAAACCCTGTCTCAAAAAGACAAAAAAAAATCCTCTAAAATTTGAAAACGGAGGCTGGAAGCTGGGCGTGGTGGTGGTGCACACCTGTAATCCCAGCACTGGGGGAGCAAGGGGCTGAGGCAGGAGGATCATTGTGAGTCTGAGACCAGTTTAGGCTACAAAGTGACCTCGAGGCTAATCTGAACTGCCTGAGACCCTGTCTCAAAAAAAGAAAAGAAAAAAATAAAAATCTCACCTAGCTGGGCATGGTAGTACATGCCTGTGATCCTAGCACTCGGGAGGCTGAGGCAGGAGGACTGCTCTGAGTTTGAGTCCAGCCTAGGCTCCATAAGGGAGTTCAAAGCCAGCCTGTAGTACATAGAGGCCCTCTCTCAAAAATAAATAGAATATAAACCTTACCCGAATGAAGAATATACCTGAGCCAAGGTCTTGCACAGATCAGACTGGGGGAGAAATGAGCACTGCCCACATTATAGGGGACCCAGGAAGCTTCTCAGATTTGGCAAGGGCTGTCTCAGATGAAACTGGAGGTTTCTGAGCCTGAAGATGTTGTACCCAGCATGGAGGCTGGCCTGGGACAAAGGAGTTGTGGTAGTTTTTCCCTGGGTAATGTGTCCAAATCCCCTTTGGAGGCTAAGATATAGCTAAGGGGATAAAGTTCTTGGCCAGTATGAAGAGACCCAATGTTGGGTTCCAGCTCCAACACTGCAAAAAGAAAAAAATAGGAAACAAGTCCCTGGGGCAGCAGTGAGAGGTGACAGCCTTCTCTAGGTCACAGGCCCCATGTGGCAGGAAAAAGTCAGGGAAGCAGCTTCCCCAACCCCAACCTTGCTCCTCCCTTGGCCCCCTGCAGTGCCGAGATCCTCTCCTCCCCTCCCCCAACCCTATGGACCGGGGTGGCAGTTCTGCCTATGGCTTAGAGGATGTGGCTGGCCACAGCCCTGGCCTCTTTGTCTCAGTCCTCTACTCCATGGGGGGAAAAGTAAAGGCTCTCTTAGCTGTGCAATTACACCTTCCCTGTTGGCCCCAATCTGGGGGTTGGGGATGGGGCTTAAAATTGTCCCAACCCACAAAAAACTAAGGCTCCTTTCAAAAGGGAACAAAGGCAGTCCTTCCTGTCAACTCCCCAGTCATGGACAATGATCTGGAAACACTTTCGTGGCAGGGAAAGGGAAAGAGTATCTGAGGTAAGTCAAGAAGAGGAGGGCCAGCATTAGTGCTTCTTCCCTCCATCCCCAATTCTCATCAGTGCTACCCTATAAGGGTGGGCCTGTGGCTAACACTATTTACCAAGGGCTAGCCCCACCGAAGGTACGGACTGCTCCTTAAATTGTTATTCAAGCCAAAGGATATTACACCTAGATGCCTGAGAAAGATGGAGGGCTGAGCAAGTTAAATTATGCATAAAATTGGCTTCATCCTTACACATTTTTTCTATTTTAAAGATCTATTAACTAAGGCAGAGAGGAAAATGAACTTGCAGAAACAGGATTTAAACATATGCCTGAGACCTATGGCTTAGCAAGTTGACTAACCCATGTGATAACTGATGAAGCAAATAAATTGCAAGCTTTTATTGAGTGCTTACTATATTCCAACCCTATTAAAATAGGGTCACCTTCGTGGGGGATGCATCTCATTGGTAGTGCTCTTGCCTAGCATAGGAGAGGGTCTGGGCTTGATCTCCAGCACCGCCAAAAAATAAAATAGGTATTATTTCATTAATGTCTGCACCTGGGGCTTGCAAGGGCCAGCAAACTTAAGCCACAGCCGGTCTGGTGGAGGGCAGAGAAGGTCAGCGTTCTGTGCCCCCTAAGTGAGGGCCCCAGCAGGAGCTGTCTCCCAAAAACAATTGCCACCGGTCTGCCAAAACCCACAACATCCAGAACTCCAGAGGCAGTTCAAAGTTCATACTCTGCCCTTAATTCCCTTTAATTCATACACCACTCAGCGTGGGGGAGGGAGGCAGAGGGGCTCGACGAGCCTGTACCCCTGGCGCAGAGAACCGCAAGGGCGGGGGGGGGAGGAGGCACGGGCACTCGGAGGCCAGGCACTGCGGGGCAGTTGAGGCCCCGCGGGAACCTGCGCCCCAGGGCAGCCCTCCCTTGTAACTGCCCACTCTCTACTTTCTCCCTCCCCATTTTCACCCCAGTGAGGTAGGGCGCTACAACCGCATGAGCGCCGAAGCTCGTCTTCTGCGGGTGCTGGGAGCGGCTCTAAGGCTTCGGTGAATGAATCTGGCAAGTGGGGTGAACCTCACCCCGGAAGGAGGCTCCGAATGGAAAGTGAGCCCCGGGGGCAGATGGCACCGCCCCCCAGCCAGCTCCTCCCGGGCCAGGTGTGCGCAAGGCGACCGCGAACCCTCCTCCCGGGGCGTCCCGGCCGCCGTGCACCTCGGGCGTCACCCCTCTAACTCGCCCTCCACACGCGGGCGCACCCAAGCCCACCTGCCCGCCGGGACAGACACTATTCCCACGTGTACGGGTGGGAGGGTCTCTCGCCTGACTCCCCGTCCAAGCCAGCAGGGCTGACGCCCACCTGCACCCCAGCACTTGCTCCTCCGCGTTCCCAATCCCTCACCTGGGAGGCTCCCGCTAAGCTAGAGGGCAGGTAAGGGCGCCCCTCCGGGTAGGCAAAGTCCCTCTCCCTCCGCTCCTCTCCAGGACACCTCCTGCTAACTCGCGATCCGAAAGAGGGTGCCCACTCCCTTCCCGCGGACGAACTCCTCGCTTCTTGGAGTTCCGGAGGATACGGGCTGCCTCCCTTCCCCTCGCGTCCCGGTCCCGGTCCCGGTCGACCCACCCCTCGCCGCCCTGCACC